GAAGTGGAAGAGTTAGATAGTCGTGATGATGACTAGAGAACACATACGATAAAGGTCGAAGAAAGCAAGTAGAAGGGAAATATATGAAGGATGAAAGTAAAAATACAAAACTAAGTCTTTATATATCAGACAAGGCTTACTATATAGTGAATCCGAAAAATTCTTTAAATTCGGAGCAACGAAAGAGAAAACAGACAAAATATAAGATTATTTGCCAGATTAACAAATATTTAATAGGTTTATTCTCCCTACATTTGCATTTTGATCATAAAACTACTTTTATTCCCAAATTATCTCCCACTAAGATCTTCCACAAGCGACGTTAACTTCAAGACACAATATGGAAACTCATTGGTAAATGCAAAAATGAATGTAAAATCGGCTTTTAGAATTTTTGAACAGATATCATTCCAACAGATCTCGTCACAAGTCCTACGAGAGTTTAAATAGAATAGGCTGCAGCAATATCAGTTTCCGACTTATGAGTATAGGTTTCAGGCGAACAGAAAATTTCAAAATAACTTAAATATCCATTACCTCAAACATGGATACCATTACCTGTGCAATAAGGGAATGAGTTGAACCGTGAAATTAACAGTAATCGGCTAAGTTGATAGTAATTTATATTTTATTCACATCATGTCGCAGTATTTTTTGTTCGAGAATGTTTTCTGTATAATGAGTGCGTGTAGGTTAATGATGATGCAGATGCTCCTGACGTTTGATTCAAAGCATGATGTATCTATATTTAATCATGCATTGGTGATATCGAGTCAAGAATGTCGGCGCGGCAATGACGATAGTAATTGATTTAGATAATTTAAGGAAGTAAATACTTAGTATATGCATGCTGTGTGGGATGAGGGTAGGATGTAGCATTGAAGGCAAGCCCAGACTGTAAAACAATGGTTTCTGTTGTTAAAATAGATCAGAAGACTTAACCTTAAAAGCTATTCTTACATCACAAATTAATAGCGTTCTAATCGTTTTCAAAGTACAATACTTGCTCCTCAACCTTAAACTGATATGCTCGAAACTCTCCGCTGCAAGCGAGGCCAAATCAGTGCCAAAGCTGCAGTGAGCACCAAATAAGATAATAAAAATGAGACAGAAGGAAGGCTCAAAATGCTAAACGAGTCGATCGTCTCCACATATGCATAGTAGGCATTTTAAATAACAGTTTCTTTGGGACAGAGCGATTAATAGTATGTCTCCAAACTTGAACAGGATTTATAACCATATCGTGTCCAGATGCAAGTGAAGAATCCTACTTTACTAATAATCCATGTTATAAGATTAGTTTAATGTAGAGGACTTCATTGACTGAGGATAGTTAAATGACACTTAAGACGCAAAGAATAGACAAGGAAAATAACTGTGATGAATTGTCCATAACGAGTGACCAGGTGTGATTTATTCGCCTTCTTATTTGTGCATCAAAAATGCTTCTACATTGAATATGAGAATTCCTAAATATAGACTATTCTAAACACCTGTTTGGCAAGTCCTGTTAAGGTATGAATTATAGTGGTACTGGTTAACTCATACTATCAATCCTAGTGGCACACATAAAATTGATGGGTCCCGTGCAGCCACAGTTTCACAAACAAATGTGAATTCCTGCATTTTATTTGGACAAAAAAGGTAGTAAGTAGTTTTTTTTCTTTGTTGGACTAACTTCCTTCTGTGGATGAGTGGGTATTTAAAAGTGCAGGGTCGATTTTGCTGCTGGCCATCCGATTTTGGCATGCCTATAAAATATTTAAGTTTATTAAATTAATTGGACTGATAAACAATTCAGAATATAAATCGTGCGTTGGTAATATTACAGAATGAATTAACCAATGAGAAGCCTAAACCTCCACCTGTCTTGATAAATCAGAATATAATAGGTAAAATAGTAGATATTAAGACAAACAAAGAGTGATGATTAAAATATTTTATCACGAAAACATAAATGAATAAATAATATAGAGATAATTAATTGTAGAAAAAATGATTTAAATAAGCAAACATGGGAGGGGCACATGTTCAGTTATTATCAAGGTAAAGGGTTGGCTATAAATTTAAGTATATATAAATACACAAAATGAGATAGTACAATATGTAAGAGAAGCATGAATTGTAGAATTCGCAGATATGTATAAAACCAGAGGATAAAAGATGCTTGATAAAGAGAGCACAAAAATCTCTGAATCGCCTATATGT